CTTTAACGAATTTATCTGTAAATGTTTTTTTTACAGTAGGACAATTACTCGCGGGTTAAATTTGAGAGCATAAAAATAAAGGATATTTTATATCTAAGTCTTGAAAAGTGTTAGGTTTTTAGAGTGTATATGAAATATATATTATTGGATATATTAAGGGAATATGAAATTGTTTTTCATTTTACCTCTTCATTATTAATTATGAGTTACTTTATTATTTTAATAATTAGGGTTATTTATAACTAATTTTACTTTATATTTTATTTGAGTTAGTCGGCCTAATTAATTTTACGAAACTCGCAACTGGTTTCATTTCAATCGTCCCTATTGGTGTCGGTGATACTCAACATACGCTTCATCACTGCTTTCTGAATAATTAAATATCACTTAATGAACTATCTTCCCCTCCATCCAGTTAACGGTGTCATTGAAAATTGTTCTTACAAAGACGAGGCTGCTGAAATATTTTTTGTCAAGGGTTCAATGGACTAGTAAATGCAAAAGAGGTTTTACGTGCGGCGAGGTTTTACAAAGTCAGGAAATTGGGTAAATACGTAATACACTCGTACCTTCAATATTTCTTGGGGCAGCTTCTCATAAAGATATTAAAAAAGGAACTCAATTTTTTACATATTGGGAGAGTATTTTATGAAATTTCTTCGAATTTTCTCTGGAAGGAATGTGAAATTTCAAGATCAAATTCATAATATCATGAGATTGGATGTAACATACATGTTCTAAAAGTGTGTGGTCTACCATTGAAAAAAATCAGTTTCGTAATGACAGTAATAGTAGAATTAATCCGTGACCTCCAGTTAACTATTATCTTCATTAATACGTCACCTTTTGCAGAACCAATAGTCCAATTTGTAGTTAAATTATAGTTCAATGAATGTTTTAGAAAGTGGATCAAACGTATCATATTGGTATCTTGACATCTTCCTACAATAGACGATTGGCTATCCCTTATCACACTCGCTCTAACATCTCGTTTGATGGTTCTCTATTGAAGAATCGCATTGTAATAAGAAGTCTTACAATACTTTTGAAGTAAACAACTATTTAAATAAAATAATATAACTCGAGAATTAATACAGAATTTTTATTTACGCAACAAGCATGAAATTGTGTTAACTTTCTGTTTGTAAAATTCCAATTGTTTCTTATGCACAAAATTTCTTGTTATCCTGATTTCTTACCTACATAGCGATTCAGCGAGTTTTTATCTTACTTCATTAAGACTATTTCAAAAAACTCATAGTCTTGCTTCACCATGCATTTTTTGAACAGCATCAAATAAACGCCTTTTACTATCTTTCAGACCCTATAACATTCCAAAACAAAATTTTCACAAGTTTTTCTAATATTTTACACCGATTTTTAACCCGAAAATATGAATATCAGTAATAGTAAAAGTCAAAACCTAGCTAATGCGGACAGAAAATATGTAAGCGGAAATTTAATGAAGTATTAAAATAATATAATAATACATAAAAATATTAAGGGAGAAAATACTACGTCAATTTAAGTAAAATTATTGCAGCGTACGTTTTTAGAACGGTTGGTATTGAAAAAATTAAAACTTGATTTTTAGCAATTTCCAGAAATTTTGTATAACTGAATTCAAAAAATTCACTACCAACTACCAACTGAGGCATCAACTCAGGTTCTGACCAGGAAGTTCTAGGGTCCAGACGATGGCAGAATTTTCGATACTAGCTAGAAAACTAAGTGGAATCGCAACCCTCTTGGAGAATTATAGCGGTCGGTCACTCTGATCGGTAGTTTTCCCTGCTTTTTTCCGATTAACTCCAGGTGATTGTCGGAGTGATACTCTAAAACATGTACGGCGGACATTTTCGATCGTTCCTTCAAGATCGCGATCTTTCCTTTCTCACCAACGTTATGTTATACACAGCGACGGACACTAAAAGAAGATTTTAACATGTCTAACAGCCAGTCCTGGCTGTTAGACTACGCCGGAGTTTCCATGAAGCGATTACGCGTAGCGTCGGTTTCTATTGTTGTAAACATCCAATGAGCGTTGAGTCGATGCGGATAGCTGTGATCGCTAAGGCAGTAGTGTGGTGGCGATCTCTGATCGAAGTATCGCGAGTTCCAATCCCGCCTCGGGTATGGAAGTGTTTGTGATCGTCACTTCACCCTTCATCACCATCCTATCATTTCATTAGAGAAGGATTACTAATTCCCTGCGCGAACAGGAGGCCCTCGCCCTTAATGGGATGTGCAGTGTGCTAATTAAAAAAAAGAGCGTTGAAAGACGAAACTGTCACTCAGGGTTCAGAAAGGTTACAATAATACGAGCTCTAAAATACGAAACAGTAACTCTTTACCGAAACAAAAATATTGTAAATAACGTCACTGGGTTCCATTGTTGACCCCTACCCCTTTGGCATGCGACTGTCCTACGATTAAGAATCCGTTTATTGGTCACCTGAGGGGCACAAAATCATGACATTTTCGATTTCAGTAGTTTTGGTTGCACGTTAATTTTTAAAATCTCCTCTTTTGTTTGATTTATAATTGATGAACTTAAGCAGCTTTTAAAGCGTTCAAAATTTCTTCCGAAAAAAGGGGAGCATGGCTATCTTCGGAGATCTTCGATACTGACAGAGGTGAAGTTTATAATTTGCTTCGTCTACTTTGAATTAGGAGGTAGAATACAAAGTGTCTACTTGTGTAGATGAAGATTTATTAAATAGGAATATGTTCAAATTGCGCAAAAAATACAAGAAATTATTAAACATTTTGTCTAAAAACCAAAGGTTATTTTTGAAAGCCCCTGAGTTAAAATGTGAACATAGGTCAATAGCTTCACACCTATATTTTTAATGCAGTGATTATGAATTGTTTCTGAAAAAAGAACAAAATCTGTCAAATTAACATGGGGCGGATAGGGCCGTTTGGTGCCCCATGAATGTAATGAGAATGTACATTTAATGTAGTCGAGTACAATATTTGAAAATTTGTACTCTGAAATTTAATAAAAAACACTTTTATCGGAGCCATCTCCAATTCAAGCACATGAAAATCATGCGATCGATAACATAAAAATTGACCATTGTTTTTTTAATAATCCAACGGGGAATTAAAAATATGTGCTGGTTCTAATGCGGATATATCCACAGAAGTGTCTGTTAAACATCGTGTGCGTGCTGAAGAGGTTGTTCGCGCACAATAGCGAAACAGTGATACAACCAAACACCCAGCTTTACATTTATTCAAGCATTACAAACCCTACATGAGAATGAGGCTCGGAAGTTAATACTGTATCGATAGGAGAAATATGCATCCAAATATATTCCAACATTTGTAAAGTATGCACCAGAACTAATGAAATAGTTCTAGACTTCTAACAATTAAGTTTTATGTATTCATGAACAATTATAAAACTTTTAATTTTAACAATTAATTTTGCATTTTTGTCTCTACTTAGTATTCCGCCGACAATTTTTAAAATAAAATATAATGATTTCGTCTGTATCATCGTCGAAGTATTAATTCCAATGCCAGAAATTCTTTATTGAACATAAATTATTCATAATCGTACAAATCGTTCCCAGTTACCAGAGCCATGATAACATCTTAAAGAAGTTCAGACAACTACTACTGCAACGAACGAATGACATTTCCACGATTTCTCATGAATAGCATTCGAATTCACGTGTGTGAAGTACACTTTTGGATTTGAGGACAAAAATATGCACATTAATTCCAAGAGAGATATGCCACACTAAGAACAAATAAGCAATAAAATATTAATAATAACTTAAGTGTAATGGAAATATGATACATTAACATAAAATGCACTAAATATGCATTAATATGCTACATAAAATCACTGAATTTGTCGTTTTATTGTGTTTCGGGGATATTTGATAATTAGCATATTACAGAGTTCCTAATTAAATATGATTTTTTATAAACTTCCTTGCCTTAATTGTGAATATAGGTTATCCCAGTTAGTGGGGATCATACTATTTAATCCTTCTCGTTGAAATATAATGACCCGCCAAGATACACGCTTTGGCGAGCTACTGGCTAACTAAGCCTGTGCGAACGTGCCTATCTCGAAATATGTCATGTGTTGCACGACAACAGCACCGTCTGCTCGCGCAGCAATATATGATTGAATTCTGACTTCTTTTTACACACAACGAAATACAAATAAAGCGAGCAGATGGTACGGGTGCAAAGATATAAATGATAACTAACATGTGTTTGAGTTTAAAATAACATTTTATTTTTGTTTTACCTAGCAATATCCCCCTCCCTTGTTGACCAAAGTTAATAATGTTTAATTCAAGAATAGGAAACAATCTTCACTTTGATCTTATGGAAAAAATCAGAATTTATTATACTTTTGTAGTTGTAACATCCAATCTAATCGTCATGAATTTACATTAAACACCTTGTTCAATAGTTATCTAACATGTTATCAAATAAGAAAGTATTTCTTGAGATTTAAGTGAAAGGTAACGTGCTACGGAAGAGATAATAAATCTGCGCTCATGTCGCATATCATATGTGAATCAGACACAATGGGAACACAATAAGATCAAATTTTCTGATGTAGGATACAAACATCGATAATTGGCTATCTTGAAGCATCACTTAATGGAGTTACAAACATGCGGGTAAACAATGCGTGATTATTTTTCATCTAATCATTATCTTTAAACTAGTAAATGTCCGTTTTTAGTGCAGGTTCTAGAAAGATTCAGCAAAAATTTTATACTTTCGTATGTGTGTTCGTCTTATTTTTATATCAACTCACAACTTAAAGTTGGAAACATCATTTGCGCATTAATTTCTTTGATAGCTTTTATAACAGTCGTTTAAAAAGTGTGGGATATATAAACTATAAATGGTAGATTCTCAACCTCGTAAATTTTCTGTATTTAAGAACATTTCTTCTATTAGCTATTTATTTCTGTTGCTTCACATTTCCATTAACATGTTCGGAATATTCTCATTAGGAACTCACCAGGTGTGTGGGTATCTGCATGGTGCCCAGCAGCGGACTGCGGTCCAAAGTCGAAATCGTTTCCAAAATCGTTGGGAGGTGGCGGGGGCACCAACCACGTGGGGAACGCATCTTCATCCCCCCAAGTGTTCTCTGGACTCGTCAACGGGCCGGGACCATGCCCGATATTACGGCGGTGCAAATATCCTCCAAAGTGTCGCGTCATAGTGGCGAGGTTCGTCGTTGCATCGCGCGTCGAAGTCACTGAACACACAAAAGCACTCGCGAGCTGCGAAGGCGCCGAGAGACAGCCAGGCGCTGGGGCGGTGCTGGCGGTGCGCACGCCGGGCGGGCACTGGCTGCGCGTTGCGGCGCCGCACCGCACGTCGACGCTCTCTCCAGAGCTGTCTCCCGATCCGCCCACTCCACGCCGCCCGCCCGCCCCGCCCCTCCCCGCCCCATCCACTCCCCGTCCTCCGCCACGACCGCGCACGCGGCGCGAGACGAGATACCCGCCTCTGACTTGCTGCCCTGTGTCGCCCCCCCTCCTCACTGCGGTTTCGGCGTTTTGTTCGTCAATTCGACTAGTGGGGCGCGGTTGCGATGTGAAGGAATGTTTTTGCACACAGACTGCAAAGATCGTAAGCATGCAGTTTCGCCTCTATTAATTTTTTACTTCCAAGTCTAAAACTTTGACGTTTCTTTCTCTAGAACACAGATTTGTAACCAACTAAAGAAAATATGAATCAGCAAATTAAAAAAATAGTGAAATTTTATTTTGTGGACACATTCGAAGGTAATGACGCTCATTTTAATTGTATTTTTGCTATTTTCTATTCCATTGTTAACGTCATTCACAAGCTATATGAAAGAAAGATTGTTTTTTTGAAATTTAGTTTATTGATAATGGAAATACTGACGTGAGTTCAGTGATTGAAAATTAACATGGTCAACAACTGTGATTGAGAACTATGTTATCTCAGGCGTATGGAGAAAGTTTTCTCACTTCGTAGAATGACATTTTTTGTGATAAATATTTGAATAATATACTCTATGATCATTAAATCTAGGCCATAAACTAAAATAATTTATATAGTATTTAAAAAGCGTCTTAATTGATAGATTCTAACAAACAAATAGTATTATTAAATTATGTGATTAGAAAGTTTAAGGAACCGAATGATGTAAAATATCGCAAGTTGTTGTGACTACGCACCAATAAACAGTCAACGAAGTTCAACGATCCAGAAGAATTGAAGCAGAAATGACAGGACCAAGGAGTATGCTAATAGTTGAGGCGTAGTATTCGAAAGGGGGGAAAATGGATAAGGGCCTATAAGGAAATTACTTGGGAGATTGAATTCTTAACTTTTAATGCTTTATTTGAAAAGAAAGACGCGATTTCCCAAATTTTCTCGAGTAAACAAATGAGTAAAAGTATTAAAATGCACGATAAAATCAGTACGATTTCTAATCTTATTCTGGATGATTTGCATGTGTTGCAAAATGTTGCACGTTTGCATAATTTATGAGTAGAAGAAAGTTATTTATTCCATAAGACACTGATATTTACTTCTCAGGTCGATATTTAAGTAAGCGTGGAACGCTGAGAAGTTGCCCCTATCGATGTCTCATGGAATTTTGAGCCAGAGTGAAACAAGGGGTGTACTGCATCCCACGTCGTATACTGCACTTGAAAATGTATAAGAGACAAAGATAATATTGCACCAATTAGAGACAGAATTAGATGCATATTTCCCTCAGTTTCACAATGTGAGTTAATTAAAAATCTAGATTTTCAGGATTGCTTCATGCCTTTCTTATTTAGTTTCTCTCAGAATAATGAAATACGAGTATATGTTCGTCTTAATTATTAAATATCAAAGAAAATTAAATTTAATACCAATTATACATAACGCAATTAATTAATAATTATGAATTACTACAAACAAAAGGAAGTTTTAGGCGCTTAATGCACAGATTCATGATATACGCGTTGAATGATTATAAAACAATTGTTGTTGTTATTATTATTATTATTATTATTATTATTATTATTATTATAGCCATGTGTTTTAGTGTACAATTAGCTAATACGACAAATTTATAACACTTCTGGGATCCAGCATCTTTCAATAAAAAATCACACAGTTTGATTCAGTAAAAAAATTGAAGTTTTTATGCACAATAATTCTCAGTGTTATAATATAGATATTAGTATAATAGTAGTTTAATATATAATAGAATAATATATAAATACTTGTATTTCACATTAATTTTGAAGACTCTGTAACAAAATAATTCTTAATTTTTTAAAATAATTGAAGGCTGTAAGACCCAAATCTTATTTCGTGTTCATAGAGGATTTGAAACTACTTATTAGTTTACTCGGTTTAAAAATTTGTAAAAACTAAGCGACTCGTTTCAAAGATAACTATTTGGCTTCTTTGATAACTTCTCGTGTTCATTAAAATTCTATAAATAGCTGTCATTTTACGACTTCTTGATGGCTATCAATCCGCAAAGGAGGCGGTTTCGACGCTGTTAACACCGGAGATCTGGTGGAAACGGGGTTTTCTTCTTCGCAAGAACGCTCAACTACGAAGCGATATAACAAAATGTTGCGTCGCCGTGACCGGGGAGGGGCAGTGCGTGTTGGGAAAGCACAGCAGGGCTTAATCGGCCCAGGACATCCGGGCGTGCGCTAGAGATGCAGTGCTCCGCTTGCATCGCGCTCTGGTGGCCTATCGCCACGCGTGTTGCTTTTGTTTTACAGCCGTCCGGCGTTTCTAACGCCGTTATTTGCTGCGTGGCGTTCTCAGATCGTCGTGTCTACGAGCCGAGGATATCGTGCTGTGGGTGTTACAGTTTCGCCGTGAGATTTACGTCACAACAGTTTCATATTGTTACCGGGAAATTTCTCGTTCTCAACTGAACGATGTATTAAAAATATCGTGTCGTGGAATTATCATGGAAAGGTTCTGAGAACCATTACAAACTCTTGCATTTATGCAAAATTTGTTTCGAAATTTGACTATTTTGAAAGCTGAATTATCTTTCGCCATGAGAAAAATCTCATAGTTCTCTATTTCTAGAGATAATATCATATTGATTAATAACAATAGCAAAGTAATTTTATCACTGCATTGTGATTATCGTGTTTTCCTCTATTTAGGTTTCGTGACGTGCGTATGGAATATCATTCGTATTGCGAATTGCTGACAGAAAATGAGAGCTGGATTAAAAAGTCGAAAGTAACAGTCGTAATTGGTGATAGGTGTCATGCTGGTTTAGTAATTATGGAATTCTTCGAAAGAAACCCTGCTGTACCATTGTAATTCTGGTTTATACACGACGAAATTGTGTCTTTACTTATCTCTTTACGCTGAGGTATAATTAAATCTGCTAGCTTCCCCACGCACCGCTGTCAATCAGTGAAATGAGGAAATTACTCATCCTGTGTTGATGAACTTGTACGCTTGCTAACTTGAACCTCATTACATGTGCAGGTTAGGGAATACAGAATGACCACGGTTTAGAAAAGAGGATTTCAACTTTGGGGATGCGATTGGTGAGTTTCGCTGGAAACAAGTCTAATCGCAACGAGAATCGAAGTAGGGTTCTTCTCTTTACAGTCACTTTGACATATCACTTTCAATTACTGATGCACTTTTAGGATTCATCTTTTTAATTTAGTGTAGTGGAGACCTTTTGGCAATAACGAGACAATAAAACTTCATTTGAATATTATTATTATTATTATTATTATTATTATTATTATTATTATTATTATTATTATTATTATTATTGTTGTTGTTGTTGTTAATTAATGCATGTCCGCTCTCTGTTGCATCTGTCTGTTTTTTTATTCTACTGACACCATTTTAAAGATTTAACTCTCTACGTGTTTACTTCTTTTTTCTAATGAAAATTCCTAGCATTGATGAAGACATACAATTAAATAATACTATATAATTTTGCGTATATGAAGGCAGCTTTATTAAGGATTGACGAGATGTAGTAGCTCAGCACCGTTCACAAATTGCATTTCATGCAGACACCAATTTGTAATCCACATGTATATTGTGCTCTTCTTGCAAAATGTATAACTACATTATATGCAAAATCATATATAACTACATATTATAGACCTCGGTTTAGATGAAATCCCGTGATTTACTTCTAGATGCACCAATGCCCTTTGCAGTTTACGAGAACGTATTAGTGAAATATGTTGTGTTCTCTTTCGTACGATATACGTTCTCACCTAACCGCTTAGAGGTTGCATTTGTATTAATGGTATCAAACATATAGATATATATTTTTTGCTCCTAACAGTGTTTACAAAAGTTTACAGTGTCCCAAAAGTGTTAACAAAAGTTCACTTTGGGCCCTAATGTTTTAATAAATATTAAAAATTTGAATTGTTGTGATTTGATTATTTAATAATTCATACCATGGTGTACCACAATATGTATGCTGCGCTATATCCGCGACAATGGTAAGCAGATACTTTTGTTGCAGTTGAAAGATATATACGGCATGAGCCGGTTGTGATAGGACAGAGTTTGAGACGTACTATTTTACTAGGGGCCAATCCGACTCGAGGGAGTATTTCATATTCAATGAATTCAAGATGACACTAAAGTACATTGATAACTCAGCTTCCAGTCGCAGCAGCATGAGCTCTGAATCATTTCAATGCGATTTGAAAGAATTGTTTCAATAAAAAGTTACAGTTCATCATCTTCAGCTGATAAAAGCACTAACAACGATGTTCCTGCCATATTGTTGAATTTTAACTACATATACGAAGTAATTTGACATATTCGTTGCCTTCCTTAATATTCTTAGCACATTCGCCTACAAACATGATTCAATGTCATTAGGCAGTTCTTGTATTTGAAAGTCATGTATGTTGCAGAAATATTCGTAGTAAAAATTGTTAACCAGCTCTTCGCCGAAAAGGTATTTTACTACAGCTGTTCTTGTACAAGGGTACAATATCATTGTTTTCTTGCCAGTGACTACACGTTGAGGCCACCTGGAAAGATGAATTTAAGAATGTCTTGATGGATACACGACTTGAATGGTACAATAAAAAGGCAGGAGGAACCCGAAAATTCCAAAGAATACATGTCAAGAATCCACTTTATCCACAAATTCCACATTGTGATTGTGACACATGTTGATTTAATCACTGCATTAAGGGTTGCTCCGAGAAAGAGAGAATTA